GGGAAATGTTGCGGAACAGCGCCTTGAGCACCTGCAGGATGTTGCTGGACCGGTGTGTCGTCTGCGCCAGGGTGATGCATGTGTGGATGAGCGTCTGAAAGTGGGGCTTCAGCATCAGCTCTCCGGAGGTGGCCTCGGTGCTGCTTTGGTTCTGCTGGATCTGGTGGGCGATGGTCTTGAAAAGCAGCTTGAACAGCCGCAGCACCACGGTCGAACGAGTGTGCTTGAGCTGCCCGGTGGGCGAGTGCAGCTCGGACCCCACACCCAGAACGAACCCTTGGTGGCCCTCACGCGCCCTCCCGCCATCAGCCCTAACAAACATACAGACAGACATCATGTGCAGACAGACAGACGGTAATACTCGGGCGTGGTGGTTCTCTCTCACCTGACAGCACGGGCGTCGGTCCTTCCTCCCGGCTGGCCACCAGCACCACCCCTCTCCCTCTCCCTCTCTCTCTCTCTGTCTGCCTGCGGCTCCCCTGTCGGCCCACCGCCACTTGCGACGGCGGCCTGCCTCGCCTCCTTAATGACGTGCACCGGTTCGTTGCCCATGCCCAGATATCTGAGTGGCCGGTTGGAGGCCGACCCGTTGAGTCTGAAGTGCTTGGCGGCGAAGTCGTTCATCGTCACGGCCGACCCCAGCGCATCGTAAGGAGGGTTGGGCACCTTGGCGTACGAGTCGACAGCTGGCGCCAGCTTGGTTTTGTCATCGGGGTCGTCCCGGGGGTCGACGATCTCCATGGGAATGTCGTCTTGGCCATCCCGACCGCCCGACCTGCCGCTAACACCCCGCCACACTATTCCACTCCTCGGCGTGCCAGTCCTCGAACCAGTGCGGCGATCCCGGTGGTCTGACTCCTGCATTGCATACCAACACAGAGACACACATCGGGGACCACGTGGGTGTGGTGAAGTGCACTGGTAGGTAGAGTGAGTGACCTGTAGGTCTACTCGGTCGATGTGGGGATCGACCACCAGCCGTGATGGCTTGTCCCGCCGGTGGGAGATGTCGTACAGCTCCTTGGGGTAGCTGGCCGAGGCGTCCTGGGGCGACCAGATGGACGGGGGCAGGGCGGGGGTGCCGGGGGGCGCCTGCTGCTCGTGGTGGGGGTGGGGTGGTTTGTCAGTCGGTGTGGGGTCTTCGTCGATGAGCCAGTGCAGCCGCGGCATGAGGAAGTTGAGCAGCACCTCGCCGAACGTCTGTACGGGACGCAGACAGACAGACAGACAGGGGAAACAGAAGTGTGTGTGTGTGTGTGTATGGGTAAGGTGTGTATTATGTTCTGTGTTGCGCGCTGTCTGTTTGCAGCCCACCGACTGAGTCACTTACCCGTGAGGTGGTTGGGTATGAGATGAGCACTTGCATGGGAACGATCATGATGGGGTCCTCCAGACACTCCTCAAACAGAAACTCAATCTCGTGGTGCATCAAATCCTACACACACAACACACACAACACAACACAGAGAGAGATCGAACCGCTCCCGCACTCCTACATTTGGCTGTCTGTCTCTCTGTCACAGTCACACACACACGCACACACACACGCACACACACACGCATCGCATGCCCACCTGGAAGTTAGAAGGGTTCATGCAGCAGAACATCTTCGAGAACATGTCGGTGGCCTCCTTCTCCTCCATCTGCGCAAAGTTCAGCCGCGCGTCCGAGTAGCACCCCCGGCCCACGGCATGTGCGAACAGGGTCCTGTGCTGCATGTAGTGCGGCACGTGGCCGCACACCGTGCACCCGCCACCGCCCCGCGGGTAAGCCACCGTCAACGGCGGCCATGGCTGCTGGGCCACCGCCTGAGCATAGATCCTGCAGACGGCGAGGCCGTTCTTCAGCAGCTTGGTCAGGTGCTGCAGCTCGGTGTCTGCGAATGGCTGCGGCCCCTGCTGCATCGGGGTGGGCGGCCGGGGCCCGCCAAGACCCCCTAATGGCGGCTCGCGCGGCGCCTCTGGCGGGTAGTGGTTCATCGCGTAGAAGATCGACTGGATCCCCATGATCAGAACTCGGATGATCGACTTGGCCTCCCTTATGGTGTTGTCGATATTGGTGCTCTCGACGAGCACGTTGCCGCGGGCGGGGGGGAGGGAGGGGGAGAGAGAGGGGGAGCCACTGGGGATGCTGGTGGCGTCTGGGTGGGGGAGGAGGGGGTCGCTTGCGGGCGGGGGCGAGGGGGGCCGGTTCCTGCGCAGCCACGCGTTGCTGCCCAGGTCGTTGGGATCGACATGCAGAAGCTGACAGATTAACAGAATGACCAAGACATCCACACGCAATGTGCTCGTCGCAGCAGTGGGTGTGCGGTCGCCCACCCGTGGCAGGTGGTATCGGAGGGAGGCGAACTTGTCGATGAAGCAGTAGAGTATCTTCATGAACAGCGCCCGCCCCCGGCTCTTGTCCTGCTCGTGCCTGTTGGTGTAGATGCTCTCGCACACCTGCACCAGCATCTTTAGGGCGTGGTTCTGCGTCTGCATCGGCAAGGACGTGTCCGCCGACAGGCGCGTGAAGATGTGCACCGCACGCGACAGCTGGCTCATGGTCAGGTCCTGCCGGAAATGCCCAACCACCTCAGCCAACGCCGAACACAGCAGAGGCCTGCCAACCACACGCGCACACGCCATTGCCATGCGTGTGTGGGCTCGATGTGGTGCGTCTCGTGTTGTCTGTCAGGGTCAGTCAGGGTCACCTGAGCAGCTCATATGAGGTGCATCCCCACCCCAGTAGGAGGGTCTCGTCGAGCAGCGGGTCGACGCGCTCACGGAGGCGCTGCCGCATCTCCGTGTTCAGGATCTGACGCACAGCAGTCAGCAGCTCCTTCCTGAATGAACGAACCAATGCAACCCACGATTGAAAAGATGAACAACATATATGCACACACATGAATGACATGAGATGACTCATGTGTGCATGAGAAAGTCGCATGGGTGTGGGGTATTGTATTGTATGTCCCCCCGTCCGATCTGATCTTACACACCGTATGGTGACGTTTTCGTGTGGGCATTTCTTGAAGAGGTCAATGAGGGCCGTACACGTGTCCTCCATCCGCTGATACACATCCTGACCTGCAGACATGTCCAGACAGACAGACAAACAAACAAACAGACAGACAGAGGGAGAGAACACCCAATGAGTGCCCCTCTCTCCCATCTCTCTCTCTTGCATGGGCCAGCCAGGCTGCCTGACTGACCGACCTGGTTGTCCGCCCTGCTGTCCGAATTGTGGGTGCTGCCTGCTGAGGAAGACCACGAACGAGAGGGTCTTGACCTGCGCCGTTAGCAGGTCCGTCAGGGTCGAACGACTCAATTCCGCGATCTGCGGAATCTGCTCCTTGCCGCACTTGAGAAACACCATCATGTGCTGGGACAAGGCCTGAGACACACACATAACACACATCCCATCCACCCATTCACTCGTCGGTTCGGTCAAGGGTGTGTCTGAGTCCGTCTTTCTGTCTGTCTGTCTGTCTGTCTGTCGTGGGTTTGGTCCTTTAAGTACATGTATGTTTTGGTTCATGTATCTGGGGTAGAGCTGGAACATGACCATGACCATCAGGGGGCACTCGGACATGACCTTGAAGCTGTCCCGCGCCCTCGTCGACACCTGCACCCCCGTCAGGCCCCCCAGCCCTCCCAGCGGAGGCAGATCCATGCTCGCACCATCGCGCCCGGCGTGCACGCCCCCCAGTGGCTGTTTCTCCTTGAGCTTGGCGTCGTTTTGGCGGGTGATAGCGTTGGCAACCATCTGGTGTGTGTTCTCGTAGAGGCTCTCCATGAAGCGGAGGAATGCGGGGCAGTGTCCCTCGAGGCCCTGCCTGTACGTCTTGTGGATGTTGAACATGGTGAGGATGCAGGCGATGGCGTTGTCCTCGTTATCGTGCTCCAACACGTGCTGACACATCTCCAACATGCTCTGCACATGAACACATAAACACATTGACAGACAGACAGACAGAGGGGCATACACACATCCCATCCCATCCACACACAGCCTGTTTGCCTGGCTGCATTGCCAGGGTTTGCTCACGTTGACGTAAGGTTTGAGTGTGTCGTCGCAGCGCAGCCTGGAGAACACGTCGATGATGCCATTGCGGATGCGCTGCTTGGGGTTGTCGACGAACTGAGCCGGCTCGTGGATGAGGATGCGCCGGAAGGGCTCGAACAAGTGCTGCAAGAACAGGGCGCCGTCAGCGGGGTTGGACGCGTCCACCGCATCGCGGATCTCGTTTGTGATCTGCTGACGCTCACGGTCGTCTGCATCAATCAATCACAACACACACATAACCGGTCCACACACAGGCACAGGGCAAGGCTCTCTGCGTGTGTGCCGACGTGTGTCGGTGTGTGTCAGACATAGAAATACCTGGCTGGCCCTCCTTTTCAGTTAGGCGCCTCGCATAGTCCTGGAGCTCTTGTTCTGTCATCTTGGTCAGCGTCGTCAGCCGCACCATGCTGCTTGCTCCTAGCCAATCATGAGTAAGGCCGGATAAGCATCGTCCTCGTCTGCGGAGCACTCAGACAGGCTGGCTGTCATGCATCCTACGTGCAACGGGCTCCTCTTAGCTCAGATCTTCGAGAGATGCCGCTCTGTCAAAGATGATCGGCAATCTGAAGATCCAGCCGATTTTGGCCGTCGAACCCACTACTGTCCACTCGTAGTGTCCTGCTGAACGTTCGGGGAAGGCCAAAATGTGCGGAACCAGAATACGCCAATCTGCGAGCTAAGCTCGCATGTCCTTGAGGGAGGATGCCAGCGTAATGGAAGTGAACAGCGGCCATGGCATGGCGAGTTGTCTCAAGCCCTCTCGTGGTGGCTGCCTTGTACTCATCTGCGGCCTTCCTGCCAGCGGAAAGACCACACTCGGCCGCTCTCTCGTTCAATCTGAGCCGTTCAGGAGGGTGCTCATCGAACACGCGAGGCGCATTGCTGATGCCGAGGCGCCTGGCGATGAGGAGAAGAAAGCGAGGCGGGATGATGTGAGTGTGAAGATCTCCTTGATGTCGTTTGATGATGTTGAGGACGAGCTCAGGCAGAGGCGGCATGATCCATCTCATGCACGAGAGGGCGAAGATTTAGATGTGTTTGACCCTGATGTGTGGCGAGAGGCTCGTTCTGTGGCTGTCACCCGCACTCGTCAGCTCCTGCAAGAAGACGGGGACAGCCACACGTGTGTCATCGTCGATGACAACTTCTATCGGCGGTCTATGCGGAAAGCCTTTGCCAAACTGGCCAGAGAATGTCAGTGGGCCACACACACGGGAGGGCCTTCTGCGGTGCGGACCGCCTGTTTGGCCTGTCTTTGTGTGTGAGGTACAGGTGCGAGTGGGTTCGTGCAGCTGCTGCTTGATCTGCCAGCTGAGGCTGCCGTCGCGCGCAACGAGAATAGGAGCAGTTGTCCGTCGCCCTCCGTCCCTTCATTCGTCATCAGGCACATGGCCGAGTGCGTCGAGTGGCCGCCATCGTCCACCGATCTCTCGGCGAGTGGCCAACATGACCACAAGAGCACGGCGACGGCCGCCAATGGTGTGCACTATCGAATCCGTTGGGAGTCGGCCGTCGAGCGGTCGACGGCCCACATCGACTCGACCACACCCCCCGATGACATGGTTGGTTGTATACACACATAGCCACCGTCACAACCTGTGTTGAACACACACTCATTCGTTCGTCGCCTTCAGGTGTCGTCGATTGTGCGTTGGTTGTCCGAGAGTGTGGAGCCCTGGCGCCCAATCGTCGCTGTGGACAGTGAGGGCCGAGAAAGCGGCGAGGGCACGACAGACGGAGGGAGAGGAAAGGTCACCTCGTCGCCAATCCAGGAGATCGAAGTGCGACTTAGGCGGCTGATCAGCGAGGCTCTCAAGACGTGCTCGGGAGGTGACAGAGGTCAGCCCAGGACACATATGCAAGAGTGAGCGTGTCGACAATGATGCCTCCCTCCTTCGCTGTGTGTCAGGTGTGACGGGGGAGCTTGCTCAGCGGTGGAGCCGTCTCAAGAGTGAGTTCATGCGAGAAGTTAAGGCGCAGGTGGCCGCCAGGAATGGGGAGGGTGTATGTGACGATGAAGCACTGGATGGTCTGTATGACGCCTTCATGCGGAGATGCCAGCAAGACGCGGCCGACTATTTGTCGACAGGTGCGTGTTCAAGTTGAGTGTATATATGCACAGATAGATATGCCGGTGCGGGCGGGTGAGTAAGAGAGAGGGAGAGTGCCCTCCTCAGATGAATCGATTCATCTGTATCAATCTACCTTCGTGCATGAATGCAATGCATGGTGTCCCACTCCACTTGCGCGTGTGCGTGGCCTGTTGAAAGCGCTGAAGTGGAGCACTTTGCGGCCAAACAAGCGTCAGCATTCCCCCCGCTGAACGACAACCTGACGAAACAACACATAACACATACACACACATGACACACGGGATGAGGAAGACGGTCCATCGTCAGTGCGATCCATGCGAGCTTAAGGGGAGAGGAAGAGATCTTGAGAGGGTAAGCAGGCTTCTACGTTCCTTGATCTTTCCCCCACCGATCTCCTGTGCACGCACACTGATGGCCCCATGGCAGGTTCTCGTGCTCTTTGCCCAGATCTATCTATGATGAGGCCGACGGCTGCAGGTACGATAAATTCACCTCACTGACCAATAGATCCCAGCACGCGACAGTGGGGATATGGATCGTCCACCAAGGAGCGCTTGCTGTGTCCTTCTTTGTTCAGAGAGAGGGTCAGGGAGAGGAGGGCGTCGGTGGTGCTGGCGACGGCTGATCAGGAGGGGCCAAGCGCGGGCCGGTCAGAGGGAGAAACAAAAGGGAACTGAGGTGTCAACGCAGTCGTTCTGACGGCTTTATGTGCTGCACTCAGAGCTTTTGAAGAGCTACAGATTGGGAAAGAAGCTTGCCGAGGGCGGCTTCTCCCGATCCTACACGGCCACGCCGAAGACCCCAAGCCGCTGTGGGATGACTACCCAGAAGGTAAGAGGACAATATATTAAGGAATGCGTGCAAGATCGGGCGTCTACATGTACTTGGCTGTGCTTGCAGGTCGTTGTTAAGGTCATCAAGATAGACGAGAACGCCGAGCAGAAGAGGGAGAGATGGGATACCAATCGTTGTCTCAGGTGAAGGCTACAATGCCTCGCCGCACGCACATCCGATGGCTTTCGTCTTCGCATTCGGCTGTATGTGTGTATGTAGATTCATGAAGGGCCGGCGGCACATCGTCTCCGCGATGACGCCAGACGAGATCGACCAGGAGCTCAAGCTGCTCCATCTCGCTCAGCACGGCCAGAACGGCGACAACGACGGCCACCCCAACATCGTGAAGGTGCATGACGTCTACAGAGACGACTTCTCATGCTACATTGGTCAATAAGAAGAGCCAGGCGTCGCTGCAGATTGTCGTGGGTGGAATGTCGGTCTTTGTGCCCCTGATTTCCTCTTACCTACCTGCTGTTCAGTGATGGACCAGTATGTCGAGGACCTCTATGACTTCGAGGCCTCGGAGTTGCCTGAGGAGCGGCTTGCTGAGATGACGGCCGACATGGTGCGAGCTGTGCAGCACCTGCACAGCAACGACATCATCCATCGGTGAGGCAGACAGACAGGTGCCTGCATTTGCGCTCGAATCTCTCTCTCTCTGTGTGTGTGTGTGTGTTTTCTCTGTCAGAGACATCAAGTGCGACAACTTCTTTATAGCCGACGACGGTCGCGTCGTTCTGTCGGACTTCGGCGTCTCGATGGAGACGACGTGCGAGGAGGCGGGAATCCACAGCGAGGAAATGTAAGAGGCATGCTCTTCTTTGTCTATTCATTCGCATGAGTTGTTCTGTGTGCAGCGTCGGAGTCAACGAATACCGGCCGCCAGAGGTGTGGAGGGATGATTTTGGGAAGAAGGCGGACATGTGGAGCCTCGGTGAGTGATCGGTAGCACTGGTCCATTCCTTGCCTGCTCGCCTGTCTGTCTGTCGCACTGCTGCATGCAATCGTGGGTGGATGTAGGCGTCGTCCTCTACAAGATCGGCAGCGGTTTTCTCCCATTCAACGGTGGATGGACAAACCAGCATTGGGAGGCAAGATGTCACCCTAACCCTTATTTGTTGTTTGCGGTAGGGCAAGACGAGACAAGACTGCGCAAGATTATCGAGAAGCGCCTCTGCACCTGGAAGGCGCTGCACAGGCAGACACCGCCAGAGTTCGTCGACCTTGTTCAGAAGCTGCTCGTCCCGGGTTATATAAACACATGAATGATCGGCACAGGCTATATGCAACTCATCCCCCTTGTCCCTTGTGTGTATTTATCCATCCATCGTACAGATCCCAAGAAGCGCTTGTCCGCCGCTGAGGCCTTGGAGCATCCCTTCATTCAGCATGTGGCGCCACGCGAGCAACAGGACCAAACCAGCGGGGACAGACGAGGGAGAGGGCGAGAGGGCGGGAGAAGTGCTGCAGCTGCTGCAGGTGGTAAGCAAATCGACGTCTTCCTTCTGTCTGTCAAGCAATAATTGTTCTCGCCTGCCTGCATGTCAGGGTGGCTGCTGTTGAGTGAGGACGACCACAAAGAGGCGGCCGCAGCTGCTGCTGCTGTTGGCGGCAGGGCGGACAGTGAGGACGACTACGGAGAGGCAAAGGGCATCCGCAGGCTCAACTGCGGCTGCCCGTGCTTCTGGTGGGTGCGGGCGTGCGGCCGTCTTTTCAGGCGCCGCAGAAGGGGCGGGGAGACATTAATGGCCAGCGAAGAGGGCGACTGATCCACGTTTACGTGTGCAGTAATATCGGTGTTGAGTTCCGATGACACTCTATGTGCTATTCCCCTATACACGAGCATTCATGTACACGTCCTCCTTTGGACCTTAATCAATGTGAATGAGTGGTGAATGGTCCTCATGCGTGCAGCATGATGCATGTCTTGCGGCTTATCGAAGGCACAGAGGCGTGTCTCTCGGTCGGTTTGCCAATCAATCTGTCACTCGATCTATCACGATATGTGTCACATTCATCCGTCTTATTGCTGCAGAGCACACAACTACCCTCACTGCAGAGCACACAAAAGCTCATGTCAGACGCCCCATCTTCGATGGTGGCATCGACACACACAGAGACATCGGACACATTCGTGTATTTTCAATCCTTCTTTACTATGGCGCAAAAGAGTGCCGAACGGCATATGACTTTCCTTCCTTCGTTCAGACAGGTGGCCTTACAGATCATCATGCACACATCCCCGCCCACCCCACCCCACCCAACACATAGACGTGAGTCGATCAACAGAGACTTATCTTCCCGCTCCGTCCATGAAGGTCGTCAGCAGCGCTGCCGCCACTCTGGACGGCTCCCCAGTCCCCCCCGTATCGTCTAGCAGCGTGTGGCGTGACATGTCGTCGCCGTGCATGACTTCGTCAGCCCCATCAGCCGCTGCCGCCCCTGCTGCTGCTGCCGCTGGCTGCTCGTGCTGAAGCTGTGGTGGGTCCCTCTCGTACCGCAGCCTGTAGGTGCTCTCGATCAGCTGCCTTAGAGTGTCGAGACGGGACCACACCACGGCCGGGAGCTCCTGCAGCCACACACACAGACATATGACACACATGAAGGGAGGAAGAAGTGTGATTGCATACTGTGTCTGCGGAGTCAGCCGCATGGCTGAAGAGGAGCGCTGAGTCAGGGTCACGCTGCAGGCCCGAGAGGATAGATACGAAATCCTCCAGGCGCAGCAATGCACTGCGGCGGCATTCTGAACACGCACACACACACACGCGCCACACACCAGCAATGCACATCGCGCATGTCAACCACAAGATTCTTTCTCAACCTACTCAGCTCTTGGAGCGGGAAGGCAGACCGCATCTCGGTGTACAGCCCCAGCTTTTGGATGTCGGCCTGTGAGGGGGGCTGTGCTGCGACCTCGTCCAGACTCAGCGACTTCCTGCGGGTGTCCTCGCTGCCGACGCTGAGCCCATAGGACGCTCGCAGATACAGCGACACGCCCTCGGGCATTTCCACCTCAACCCCACAGGCTTGTGCCGCCGGTGCTGCTGCCGCCGCTGCTGCCGCCGCTGGCTGCTCGTATGCCGCTGAGATTAGAGAAAGAGGAGCAGCTCATCATGATGCAGGCCTGCTGTCAAATCACGCCGTGTATGTGTGGTTTCGCTCACCCCCTCCGTGTGCGCCCATCCCAAAGGCGACCTTCCGGCCCCCGTCATTTGCTGGCTGGTTGAGCTGAACCGCAATGGATGAGAACAGCAGGTGGACGTACAGGAGACACAGCCCCTCGAGCACCCTCTTCGCCCGCTGGATCCATGTCTCCCCATGGACGCCGTGCGGTGGGAGGGGAGACGGGAGGGAGGGCGTAAGCTGCGCGATGGCCGCATACTGGCGCATGCTGGCCTCGCGTAGATACTCCCAGAGCAGGGAGGGGTCGCGCGGCTGGCGGGGCATTGGATGGAACGGGATGTTGAACTTGAAAACCGCCTCGACTTGCAGACCGCGAAGCATGCTGAAGGGCAACCATCAAGTGGAATACATGCACATGTGCATATTCTCTTGGTCTTTCTCACGCCATGACTTGGTCTCGCCCGAATTTGATGGCCTTCATGCGATCCGTCCACTGCCGCTCGTCTGTCTGATAGGGATACGCACACATGAAGAACACGACTATCAGCAAGACAGCAACGCCGCCATCCCATCTGATGATCCTACGGTGGAATCGTGTCGTGAAGGGCTGGAGACGTCAAGTTCCATCATCCCGTAACCTCCACCCCCGGCTGCATCATCACCCTCGACCGCCTGCTCCTTCACCCTCTCTGCCCCAAACCATGAAAGCCCCACGCCTGGGCTCCCCCTTTGGCGTCTGCCTCCACCCCGTGGCGGCGATGCGAGGGGTGTGGCGTCCTCGAATTCGAACAGCGGCTGCAGCTGCGGCCTGACCCCTCTCTGCCCTGTGTGGCGACCTGCTGTCCCAGCTGCTGGCGACACTGCGGCCACTGCAGCGGCCATGGGCTCGTCCTTGACGTGTCCCTTGTCTGCTTGCTCTTCCTCCTTGACCGGGTGCTTGGCGAGGAACAACGGCAGCGCCAGAGGGGCCGAGCCTCGGCGCTCAAACAATAATTGTCGGCGCCTGCGTCGCTCTGTTGCTGGTCTGGCGGCCACAGGAGCAGGCATAGGCTCATCGTTGATGTCGGCCTGTCCCTCCAACGCAGCCGAGACATGGTGCTTTCGATGGTTGCGGACTTCCTGTCTTGCTTACGCGTCTGCTCCGCTCCTAGGCTGCCTTCTTGGCGCTCCTGCACTAGGTGGTGCACTGTCCCCAACGCCTTCCGGTTCTTAATGGAGTTGGCGTATCGCTGTAAAGAGCACAGAGCTCTTACATTGCGCCACACACACACACGTGTTTCCTTGCGCATACTCCGTAGTCTCGCATATTCTCATCGCCCCACTCATATAGCTGCAGGAAAGTCAAGGTTGCTTTCTTATTTGTCTACAGCTGCCAGCATCCGTACCGTACCCGTATGTTGTTGGGGGTGCAAATGGCGTAGTCCCCTTCGGCGACACTCCAGATGCAGACCGGATCTTTCATCCTGTCATGCTCACCACAAAGCTGGGCGATGGCCTTCTCATTCACCAGGAAGCCTGAACAGAGACGCAGACGCAGACGCATTTGAAAACACCACACATCCAACGCGTTTCATGGACGGTACCCTGGTCGATCATGAGCCGAAGGCACACGCGCACGCCCAGCTGCCAAGGGCTATTGCCCTTCTTCCACCACACAAACGAGCCCACGGGGACTGAAAGTGACCCGAAACAAACAGAGAGATGGACAAAGACAAAGTCACCCAACAAGCAGCGGGCACGATCCATGGGCCATGGTGGAGTAACTGCGGGTATGATGACTCTTACGCTCTTGTTTGCCGGGTGAGGGTGCATCGCCAGCTGCCGAAGACGCCATACTTCCTTTTCGAATCGCGCAATGTGGAGCAGAGGAGGAAGAGATGAATGAATGGACAGATGGACTGTCTGATTGAGTTTTGTGTGCTGTCTTCCTGGCGTACCTGTGTCTTCGTGCCTCTGATCTGCTGTTTGCCGTGCTCGAATCGACGACAAAGGGAGGGATCGGAAGGATGGGCCCCCACGAGGCCGCCCAAACGGAAGCGTCAGCAACAGGTCCCGAGACAGCAGGCAGCAGGCGACGTCAGGCCATCTCTCAAGCAGGTGGCCGTGTGAAGCGCCTGGCGTCTGTGTGGAGTGAGAGATTGGTTTGATCATTGGACGTTCATGTTTCAACAAGTCGCACAAAAGCTAATGAACGAGTGGAAGTGAAGTTCCACATCAGCATATGGCACCCGAGATAGACAGAGAGAGATCCGACTGGCTTCTTGACGCATGCCGATCCATAAAGCAACATGGCCAAAGACACCCTTCAACACACATCGAATCGATATCATCACATCATTCATCGCTAGTGCGCGAAGTCATGCATGAGCGCCAGTCACTTAATCGATCATCACTCACTGCCAATGCTGGCTGGTCTTTGGAGCAGTCAGTGCCGGCTGCGGTCCTTGCCAACGCCCTGCCACACCTGCTCACCGCTGCCCAAAGTACCTCCCACCTGCACACACAGGCGACACACGACACGCACACAGGGGGTGACCATGGCATGCATGAGACGTGTGCTGTAGGTCTTCACCTTCTATGGTGGCCTTGAGTGGGAGCTGGTGCAGTTGCAGGCCCGAGAGGTTGTCGAGCCAGTTACGGGCGTTCTCGAGCCGGCGGATGAAGTGACGACCGCAGCCTGGAACAACTGCATGCGACGCATGCCCCTGTATGCACGCATGCACAATAACACGACAAACGCACCACCTAGGTGTCTGCGCGCGTGTGTACTGTGTGTCGGGTCTTGCTGACTTGAGATCTTCGACTGACGAGTGGGCTTCCCCGAGGACGAGTGTTGCGCCATGGTGGGTGGTGTGGACGGTCACCATGTAGAAGCCGCCAGGAACTCAAAACGACACATCATACGTCAGATGCTCCTCCTCTCGTAACTGAATACACACACACACGCACGCACATATCCATGGCAACAGCAATCAACATTGTCATGTGTATTCCGCCAGTTCTCACTCGTGATGGACGACGATGTGCTGGAGCATCGACAGTGTCACCCTCGCAAAGGCCGCTGGGACGCTGGATCGGACGAAGGGCTTCTGGCGGGTGTGTTTGTGGTGTGGCTTATTGACCACAACCCCCCAACACAAACACGCCCCACATGCGCGCCCCTCCATCTGTCCCTTCTCCAATCCCACCCCACCCCCACCTCAATGGCGTATCTCCTCGGGCGTGCTGCACGAGGTAGCTTGACAGCCGACTCGAGAACCGTCACACCGTGTGCGCGTGTGCGTGGCCTGTTGAAAGTGTTGAAGTGGAGCACTTTGCGGCCAAACAAGCGTCAGCATTCCCCCCGCTGAACGACAACCTGACGAAACAACACATAACACATACACACACATAACATACAGACACGCGTGACAGACGGTCCATCGTCGAGATCCCCAACTGAGGGCAAAAGAAGGCGAAGCAGGATTCGAACCCACGACCACCCACTCCGTAGGCGGGCATTCTATCCAACTGAACTATTCGCCCTGGTGCAAGTCTCAGTCGCACCCTAGTACTATCACGGCAGATGTCAACACTCCCGCCAGACGATCATTGGTGAGACACGATCACCGATCTACGACGCTTTGAAAAGGCCTCTCTCCCCGTCTTAAAGGCACTTCAACCTTCTCCGCCCCTCCCTCAGTCTGCGAAATGAAGTCGTTTCTCTGTGCACTCGTGGTGGTCAGTGCCCTCGTGGCGGTCTCAGCCTTCCATGTGCCGGTGTCGCCCGTGGCGTTCAGGGGAGGCCGCCGGGCTGCGCGGCCGACCGTCAGGATGGCCACCATCGGGCAGGAGATCGCTCAGAACCCGGTGAGTGAGCGAGGGGATGAGTCAGACGATAGATCTCCGTGCAGACGAGGCGCAAGAGAGGCTGGGAATGACAGATCTGCAGTCACACACTGCCCGCTGCCGTGTTTGTGTTTCCGTGGTTCTCTCTGACTGTGTCTGTCAGGAGTTGTCGAAACTGTTGGAGATGATCCGGCTTGCGGGCATCAACCTGAGCAGCGGCGGCCCCTACACGTTCTTCGCGCCCGTCAACAGCGCCTGGGAGAAGATGCCGCCCCGGTCCCGCAACCGGATTGCCAAGGACGAGCACCGAGATGTCCTCAAGGACACTCTGCTCTACCACGTCCTCACGGCCAAAAAGACCTCGAGTACAAAACGCCAGACAGACAGACAGACAGACGGCGACCGAGCGAGCGGGCGACGTAGATAGGCAGATGTGCTGTGCCGTGCATATGCCTGCCTGTCTGCCCGTCTTTCTGTCTGCAGGCGACATCGCCGGTAGTGAGAACGTCCAGACGGTGTATCAGCGTGAGAACGACTTTTCGTCGTGGCCGTCAGCCAACGTGCCCGTCATGGTTCGCAAGATGGGGAGCGGCACAATGATGGCCAACTCCGCCAAAGTCATCAAGCCCGACATCATCTGTGACGACGGTACGCACCGCACACACACGCCAAGAACACCAATTGAGGGAGAGGTGTCTGCCTGCAGGTGTGATCCACTTGGTGGACAAGGTCTTTTTCCCCTATGTGCACGACCAGGCGGGATGGGGCAAGTAGACACACCCAACCCACATGATACAGTGATGTGATGTGGCGTGATACGGGGGGGTCGAAGCCGATTGACTGACTGCATGGCTGCCTGCCTGACTGGGTCTGTCTGAACGGGTGGTGGGTGGGTGGGTGGGTGGCTGGTTGGCTGATTGCTCCTCTTCTTACCCCCTCCCCCCCTCCCCTCCCGGTTTCCTTGTCTACTTACTGTTTTTCCCGTCCGTCTGTCCGTCTCAAGATACATAGGTCGATGCAATGGCCATGTACTCAGCTGATGGCTGCAGAAGTATATGTGCCGCTTCCTTCTATGTGCCTTGCTTCTCCCTTCCTGCTGGTAGCTCACTCCCCGTCACATCTGTTGGTGTGATGGCGAGCCAGCTGCCGGTGGCGGTGAGAGAGCATGTCACTCAGAGCACAGAGAAGGACAGATGTGCACAACACGTCTAGCGAGGCAAGGAGGCAGGGTACCATCCGTCCGTTTGTCCCGCCTGCACTGCCCGGCTGTGGATCCAGGCTTTAATGCATGGGATTACATTATAGCTATGTAGGCGTACGAAACGCTGGCTGGCCGACTGACGGGTTTGGGGAAGTGAGTGATTTTTGGGCTGCGATTGATGCGAGAGCTCAAAGCCAAGGATGCGTGCGTCTTGGTCCATGCGAACAGTTTTCGACTTGCGATACTGACCGATCTGTGCTGCATGCATCCATCACGCGCACTCAACACGGTGACGCACGAACCAGCAGCAAGGACACGCAGTGGAGAGCAGGGATACGCTTGAGGTGAGGCCAACTCAAATGGAAAGGCCAACACACGAATGTTTCGACAGGTTCACTCATTTACCACGAGTCAAGCAACGTCAAGCGCGATAAAGGAAGATACACATACATAACATACCCACCTGTGCCCGCGAGCACACAACATGCGCCGATCGATGTCTGTCTACTGTCCTTGCTGCACGAGCGAGCCCCTAGCTACACACTGACAAGCTATGCTATGCTATTGCTGCTGCACGTGGTGTCTGTCTGTCTGTCTACTTTTCTTTCAAATCTAAATGTACGCTTGTGTTTGCTACAGCCTCATACGATACATAGATGTGTGGACACACGGACAGGAACCAGTGAATGTGATGCACAAGCACAGAGACATGACCATGACCCACATCACCGTTTCCTACCCTTGACGTCTTCATACATCCATCGCCTCTTCACGTGTGATCTTGTGTACCTCCTCGGCGTGCGGTTCCGCGCTGTGGACCTCAAGAGCCGATGTCACCATGCTGGACTCGTTCCCCTCTGGCTGGCCGTCCGCAATGTCCTCAATGTCGTCAAGGTCCAGCACCTCCCGCAAGTGCATCTCTTCTCGCTGATCAGAAGACACGTCTCCATCGCTCACGTGGTGTTCCTCCAACACCGCCCCTTCCTCCTTTCTCTGGGCCCCCTTCTTGCCGCCATCGTCCTTCTTCTTCGGGGGGAGCTTCAGGAACACACTCAGCCTGCCAATAGACGACCGGTTTCCAGAGGAAAGTATCGAGGCCCTTTCTTTGTCGTGGGGCGACTGCAGGTCGGGTGTAGCTGTTGGCTGCAGAGACGGGGAAAGGGCACCCTGGGGCTTGCTGCCCTTGTTCTCGCCTTCGTCGTGCTGTCGCCTGTCGTTGCGTTCATCTCCTTGGTCGCCGTCTTCCTCTCCTTCAGCGTCCGGGTTGCTCATGAAGTCCAGATCGTCGTCCAGAGTCAGCTGGAACTCCTTCTTGGCGTCCTCCAGGTCGTCTCTCTTGCTGGAATCCAGCGATCCAGTGCCCCACCGCGTGATAAGCCTGCCAATTCTCTTGGATGTGGCCGCACTTGGACTTATCGGGTTTGATGGCGTATGGTTGTCATGGCGGGGCGACGTCGGGGCTCCTTGCTGTGCGCCACCCGGGATTTTACCCATCACTTCCACTGACGGAATCACACCACACAGCAATTCTCTGGGCAGCCAGTAAGTAGAGAACAGTCTCTCTCTCTCTTTCCCCATCTACACACGCTCAAAGATGCCCAGGAAGCGCTGGATGGCCTGACGGTCAAAGCTACATGAACAAGCACACAAGAGCGTGAGACATGGGAGCAAGGAACGAGTTTCCGGAAGCCAGCTTTGCCAACTTACGGTGGTAGCCTGGTGATCTTCCTGACGAGCGACGCCCTGTGCAGGTCGTTGACAAACGCCCCTGCTTCCCTGAGGCGATCGACGGCCTGCTCGACAGCCGCTTGCAAGCCCTTTTGCATCTTCCGCTTGGCGTTGAGTGCCACGAGGACACTCGCCACCGCAGCAATGTTGACGAAGAGGAAGACGATGAATGTTGTGACGCTGAAGAAGGAGCTGGACCGTTCCAGCTTGGGGACAAAGTATGTGGCGAGGGCGGACATCACGATCAGAGCTGACAGGAGAGAAGAGGAAGAGGCAGACACACGACGGGTCACCTGTGGGCCCACAAGGGCGGCTGGTCATGTGTTGTGGTTGCATATCCACCTGCCATGATGACGGTGTCCATCACATTGATAAGGACATTTGACCAGGGCCACAGGATGCACTGAAAGATCTGAACAATGCACAGAAGTCATGGCCACATGACCGTTGCTGCCGTGTCTCTCTATCCGTCGCTGACCAGAAATGTCGTGAGAATCAAGATGAATATCGTCGCCTGCATGTGGCCATCTGATAGCGAGATACACAGGCATAGGTTGCTCATGCACATCCGGTCAGGGAACAGGCTTGTCGAGAAAAGGACCAATCACCTGTCGGCACGAGCACATTCGTCATGGCAAGCAGGGTGTTTCGCGTCATGAATGCGATTCCCCACCACCACACATCAGGCCTGCCAAGCAGAGAATGAGACAGAAGAGACAGTGTAATGAGGGCTGATGCTTCTTATGCCACACCTGTAGTCCGCGATTAGAAACTTGTACCTCACCCGAAAGCTGGGATTGGTGTGGAACAGTCTGCATGTCACGGAGAAGGGTATGGATACACTCTGTGCTTCTGACTCTGTGGTTGCTTTGTTCACCCGGGGGCGTGCCAATTGAGATACGAGAAGGACGCCAAAGTGCCGACCACATAGACCAAGATTCCAAATATCGCCAGAGGCTGTGTATACCACATAGACCATCACCACATGTAGGCGCACACCAGAATGCGGGAATGGCTCACCAGGAACTTGCTTAACCACTCTCCCTCAGAGCAGAGGATCTCCGGGAAAGCTCTCATGGAGAAACGGCCTGATGCATTGGAGCATGGTACCAGTAGACATAGATGCAGCACGTCAGTCTTACCATCTGGTGCTTGTAGCATTGGAAGATAAGGAACGAGTTCGTGCTGCAGACAGAGACATTTTGCGTGTGCACTTAGGCAGCAGTATGAGGATCGCTTACCAAAGTGTGATGTACAGCACCCTGATTGTCCAGAGATACACGTTGATGGTTTTGTCTGGGATCATGGGAAGATCCCACAGGAGAGCCCAACTCACTCTCACAAACCACGGTCGCCCGGCAAAGTCGTCCCTTTTCCTCCTCTTCTGTCCGCCTTCGCCGCCTGTCTCCTGCCGCACGATCGCAGCCCCCCCTTCAGCGCCTTGTGTCAGCGAGCCCCTCGGAGATGCCATAGACATTCCCGTGTGGCTGCTGCCCACGGACATGCCGTGTGGCTGCGAGCCATCGACACGTTGGTGTTGCTGCGGCCGCCCAGTGAGTTGGCCCTATCGAAAAAGTCAGGCGAGACGAGGAATCGGTCGCGGACCTTGGCTATCAGGACAGAGAGCCCCCACAGCAGGGCGTAGCCGGTCAGGGCCACCAGTGGCAGTGACATACGAATGAAGAAGTTCGCAAAGGGGCTCAGCTGGACGCTGCATGAGGGGCGAAGCATCTCGGGATTGAGAATGAAAATCTGCACTCATGCGGCAAGCAAGATAGCAGGCGGGAGTCCCTGTCTCAAGGAGTGAATTCGTCAAGCTTGCCTGCATGCCGCTGATGATGGCCCTCCAAGGGCTGATCCACTGCATGTTGAAGTTTGCGAATAGCGACAGCGTCATATAGAAGTTGACCTGAGCATACCGAGACAAATCGCGCATGCAGACGCATAGCCAGCCGTAGAGAGTCAGACAGCCATGTGTACGTACCAGGAGAGCAAAGAGCGGTCCGGTCCCCGTGGACTGCGAGCCGGTGAAACTGTAGCTGTGATTTCTCATCACGTAGAGAAGATACAGGGCCGCCAACATCAACACGCCACACACGGCGGGAATGGCTGAGTCGCCGTCGTCGCACTCCACGCACGAACCTGCAGAGGCACCCGTTTGTGAATCCGCATGCATCGAGTCTTACAGGAAGATTCGGCTTGTGGCTCACCGGATCCTTGCTTGAAGTACCCGTCTTTGCACCCCTCGCAAAGCATGCCTGCAACAAGCAAAGGAGCAAACTTGGCTCTACGAGCTTCTGGAAGATGTTCGCTCACCAGTTGCACCCGTTTTGCACATGGTCTCGTTGGGGTACCGAGAGGGACACGCTTCAGGAATGCCGCATCGGAAGATAGACACCTCTTGAAATAGCTCCACCTCGCTCTGGCTGATTTTGTCTACCCAGTATCCCTCTCTCAGACGGGGCAGCTTCAGGCCGCCCGCACACGTAGCGCCTGCATGAAGATGATGTGTCTCGGTGAGGTCAGTAGACAGGGGTGCACTTACCTTCAGGACAAGAGCGGCATTTATCAGCTACCTGGTCGAGATACGTGTCCTCAGGACACTGCGACACAGTTTATCGAAGGTCAAAGGAAATGCTGCGGCTGCGATAGGGCTTAATCGCATTGTGTTGTCTCACCACACACTCGTCCACCGACTCGGTGCCGAGGGAAAGGGTTGTCTTTTGGCTTCCGACAGGGCAGTCGGTACACGACAGCGCCCCACTGACGTTCGTGTAGGTGCCGAATGGACACCTGCCGCACACCCATGCCGCAACAAATACATGCGCCACTCACGAATTGCAAGTCCGGCCCACTCACCTCTCGCACTTCGTAAGACTCATCTCTTTTTCCCCTCTGAATGTGCCTGGAGACAATAATACCGTGCTCCTCTGTGCACGAAAGCTCGTCAGATGTGTCTCTTACCTGGCCTGCAAGGAATGCATTCACTCGAGCCTCCTGTCGACTCCGTGCCAGGAGGGCATGCAATGCACGGCTCGTCAGGGGGCATGGATGCGTTGCGATATGTGCCTTGCTGCAGGCAGAACACACAACGCCATGATTGACTGCGCATACCCGCGAGTGAGTCATTTACGGGGCATGGCTGGCACACGAACTGTCCCGGCATTTGGTTGAAGAATCCCTCCTGATGAAGATGCAACGAATGTGTAATGTCAAGTGATTTCATGTTGTGGTCATGCTCCACCGCGCATGGGAGGCAAGTCCCGCCATCTCTGCCCTCGGTCCCAGCCGGACATGCCACGCACACCATGATCGCGTCAGATGCCATTGAAGTGCCCGTATGCGCCGTTCCATTTGCTGTTGAGTTGTCACTTGTGGCGTTTGGATTCGGAGCGGCTGTCGGCTGCTGCGTGCTTTGTGTTGACGGCTGATACCCCGCGATGCACTCACAACGACGCCCGTCTGAGCTTTGCTGCTGGAAGGCACCACACGTAGAGCAACTGAGAGCACAAAGGAGAGACACCACCTAAGAGCGAGGCACGCACAGGACATTAGCAATCCCCACCGTCCGTATTCTTTGATAAAGACTTGATCAGCCCGGCAGCCTCGAGTGCCGAAGGACGTGTTGGTTAGGGCGAGAGACGAGTCGACCCAATATGTGTGAGTTGCTGCTCCGAGGCGTACGCCCCGTAATACGTACTGAAAAATGATAATACGCACACGCATCGCAGTGACTCTGTCTGCGAGCCATCTTCTACCCTGTCAACGTCTTCTGCGTCTTCAATCGTGACAACTTCGATGTCGATGTCATTGCGCACGTAGGACAAGAGCCCGTCGTCAAAGTGGGGTCGACCAAACAGCTTCAAATCATATGCTTCCTTGCCGCCGACGACATTCACGACTGCATAATCGCCAAACACCGGAGGGTCCGTGTGTAGTTTCCCCCCGGAGGGTCCGTCTCGTTCAGTTGTGTGAACTCCACACTCAGCACGCGGCTTTCCGCGAGAGTTGACCACACGCCCTTCATCTGCAGGATCGACGTGTCTCCCCAAGAAGTGTTGCTGCACATAGGTGACCACACGCACACAGAGACATACAGACAGCCACATGTGCGCGTGATGAATCGAGATCTGGAGGGAACGTCTGGGGGACCTGATGTCCACGAAACGCCGGAATGCGTCAAACGACTCGATTTGCGGCGCGTTTGTAGCCATGTCGAACTCAAGAATGAGCAGATCGTGCATTTGCACGCCTTCCTCTGGCGAGCTCTTGGCGTCCATGCCCTGGGCACTGATCAGCTGTGGTCCCTTTGGCAGCACGGTGATCTCGACGCTTGCTTCGTGAAGAGACTTGCCGCCCACTTGGTCCAGGGCTACGTATTGCACAACTGATCACACAGAAAGAGCACACCTATGAAACAGTCGATACCAGAAAGCGTATTCCAGAAGTGTGTCTGGCTCTCACCAGTGGAGCATTCCTCTGTTGACGTCCCCGTCGCTGCTCTAAACTCCACCTGTTGGCTCTCGATCTGCACCGTGGCTCCTCCAGTGCCGATTTGTGTTCCATTGACAAATAGCGCGCCGCACATGTCATCCGGGAAGCGCGTAATATTGACTGTCACTGTGTCGATTGCCGGCGAGTACGGCCTCAGTGAGAGATTGTCTGGATCCAGTGCGTCGAGGGGCAGCACACGGTTGGTGGATGATTCAACCTCGATCGAAAGAGAGTAACCCTGAGATGGGAAAGCAGGGGCACATGTGGTCGTGACAAAGATGGGTTGTGATGGTAACTCACCGCAAGAGCGTGCATTCGGCTTTTGGCCACTTCAAAGCCGGTTCTCTGGAATGGCTTGCAGTTTGAAGCAGAAGACACACACCACAGAGTGCCGTCAAGCGCGGCTCCAGTAGAGGCGTAGTTGCGGAGGACGCTCTCTGTCGACTCGGTGGGCACACGTTCAAGGTCTTCATCTGTGTGCATGAGAGCAGCGATCACGAAGGTGCCCGTGGGATGGGTACGAGACGTAAGATGAACAAATTCATGATGCTCACTTGTCACGGGATAGTATATATAAAGGTCTTCTTCGTCACCTGCGGACAGTGGAAAACGAGACATGGTGACTAGATTGCTGGCCTGCGTGTATCTATACCATTTAACCGCTTGTTCCAGAATTGTGCAATTTGTTCGTCACTCCTCATTCCTTTCCACACTCTGATCTCGCTGTATTCACCGCTGATGAAGTCCGATGGCTTCAATCCGCTGACACCACCCTTGTCCCAGTCCTGCATGCAATGCATACACATGAATTGACGATCGACACTCCCGTAAGCCGGTTGCTTGCCTGCCCAAAGGTTGGCAGGTGCAATGTCTCGCCTGAGTTGCACTCGGGCTTGACGGCCGTGCGCATTGACTTGTGGGCTGTCACGTAATTGTCCGTCATCGACACAGGCAGGCGCGTGCCGTTGCTGTATACCCTGATTTCCCACAGTGTGTCTTCGTCGCACACATCTGCTGTCTTGTTGACTAGGGCCCAGCTGAAGGCGATGTGCTGGGGAAGTGTGTGCCGCATCTCGTTGACAATCAGCGTCTTCTTTCCGGAGGCCATCCGAAACTGGAATATGACGTTGCCTCCGTCGAGACACACCTTGTGGCCATTCCAGCCGACTGATCGATCCAGGGAGAAGATGCAGGTGCTGAGAAAAACAGCATTGTCCTCTTTCTTGCGATCAGTCTCTGAGTAGTGATACTTCTTACTATGCGTTTGGGATGGAGTGCCAGTGAAACCACATCTCGACCGTCATTTCCCCTCCTGGAGGCATACTTGGTGCTGTGATGTAGCCCTCGTTGCCAAACAGACGCACGGCATAGCTACCGCCAGCAACGGGAGGCTGTTCGGGTTTGACTTGCACCACGTACTGGACGCTGAACCATACAAAGGAATCCATACACAGTGACAAGAATGAATCCCTCGTCTCTACGTACGGGTTGCCCATCGTGGTACACACGGTGTCTCCAAACGCCGACACATTCATAGCCAGCCCGTCAAGGGTTTCCTCGCCCTGGCTTCCTGCTCTCATCCAGACACTGTTGAGATCATATGTTAGCCTATCAGCGATCATAACTCCATTTACGGCCGACAGCAGTTGCCGGAATCCATTGTCACGTCTCTCCACCTGCAGTTGCAGTACGTTCTGCGTCGTCGGTAGAGAGAAGTGAAGGGCATCGACTGTTGACGGCGAGAGGGATTGGGGTATGGACAGGTCCTGCAAGACATCTTCTCGGGCGAGCACAAATGTCTTCCCGCCCGTGAGTACGAAAGGGCTTCCCTCATACTCCGGCCGGCTCTGAGTGATGCCGCCGCCTCTCAACACCATGGGCTCATCCGGATTGTCAAACGACAGCTGCATGTAGAGATCCACAACAGCCGGGCTCCCCAGAGGGTTCTCATTGACCATTAGCGCGGCATTGGCCCCGTCTGCAATCCATTCCCGCACCGCCGGGCCAGTCAGGTTTTGTGTGGCCCTGATGGCTGCTTCCGATCTGCAGCCCCTCCAAAAGCGCACTTCGTCAATCAAGCCAGAAAAGATGTTGAAGTGCTTCTTCTCCTTGCTCGAGACATCCAGGTGAGTGCCGAATGTAAGAGGATTCTTTTGGTCGTCGGCGAAAGGCGGGTTGTCGAACGTCTGATTGAAAACATGATTGCCGTCTAAGTATCCCGTGCACTCCTGCTTTGTCAAAGGAGGGGAGATGGCGCATGTAAAGGCGAAATGATGCTGCATTGCAAGGGGATGGTGTGACAGATATCAGCACAAGTGCAGCCTGTTCCCGTACCGGTACGTATTTCTGCGGGCAGTTCTCAATACCCTCCAGGAACGCACAGGAAGCGTAGACCTCGAAGCCGAAGTTGGAGCTCAGAGCTCCCAGTTGATACCTCTCGTTGGTCACCACAAATATTCGAGCGCCTGAGAGCGTCACTTGCTGCACGATGACCTGCAACGCGATTGCGGGCTGCTCCTGCGAGTCACGCTGCTGATACCAAAACTCGAGTGTGTAGTCGCCCGCCAGAAAGTCCAACAACGAGGGAGAGGCGCTGTCGATAACATACAGAAAGTCTGCACCATCACATGGCACAGACGGGCAGTGCGAACCTTCCTTTTTCGCCTCTCATGCGTGCTCACCGTCGACGCCATCGAACGAGAGAGCCAGTCCAGCGCCCCCGGCACTGCATTTCTTGAGTTCAGCAGCCAAGAGCAGAATCGCCATTGCAAAGTAGAAGAGCGCATCGACCCCCATTGCCGGGCACTGCCTCAGAGTTGGATTATTGCGGGGCAGCAGAAATGTCCCAACTGGGGCCCTTGGGGTCGTTCGTAAACACACTGGGGATCGAGGGGCTCTCGCGTGGTCACTCGTTCGTTCGTCCAGTCATGCATTCATTCATTCGTTCGTTCGTTCATCCATCCATCCATTCGTATACACAGGCATTCGATGGAACGGCTGGTCCATTATGCCGTTGCACATGACTGCAGCGAGAGCATGCACTGGATCTAGTTCCTACTCATACCTTTCTGGTGGCAAATGAAGGATTCTTCCATTTCTGTGGCTTCGTGCTGACGACAGTCAGGTTGTGCGACCTGACAAAGTCACTGACGGCTTTCTTGACCGCGCCGCTGTGCCGTGTCCCATCAGAGCAAAGCGACCAATCTGCATACACACACATATGACGTCATACACGCGCCCAGAGACACAAAGACACAGGCCCCGAGCTCGTCCGCATCTTTAAGTCGACCTATATACCTGTGTGTGGTTGTATGTCCTTCATCTCGGTGTCAGTGAGGTAGTCGTGGCCTGCCATTATACCGCCGACCCGCAGCTTGGGCCAATAGAGCGACAGATCCTCTGACACGCCGCAGTAGTCTGCACAGGTGCCGCACAAACAAAACAGAACATGTCGTGCCGACGCACGGACAAGTTTCCGTGTTGTTCCTTGTGTGTGCATCGACCATGTCTAGCGTCGATATAGACGAAGTCGACTGAGTTGTCGGGGATCTCCCTGGCGGCATCGGAAGTCAGCATTCGCATCCAAACCGTCTTGTCCTGCCCATAAACATGTTCAGGCCTCTGCTATGTGTGCGTGCCGTTAGTTTGCCTACCTGCCAGTGTCTCAGCTTGTCCTTGGCCTCATTCATGTAGGCCTCTTGCGCGTCGGTGGCCACGTTGGCCGTGTCATTGTAGTTGTCCTGTGGAAGCACTCTCACAAATGCATGTTGTTCTGGCCATCTCTATGGCATTTGGCTACGCGCACCTGGTGTGTCCACAGGTCGACGAGGTAATACTTCCGGCATTTCGGCCATCTGCTCAACACCTCAGCCGCAAACTCACCTGATACCAGCGCCGGCGTCACGTCCGTACAGTCAGACAACCGTACAGTACCTCTCTGCACGCCAAGCTCGACTCCGACTGTCTTGTTCTCCCGCTCGAGCACATCACCCAGATCGGCACGCGTGTCCAGCAATGGAAGAGGCGGGAAAGCCGCCTGATGGTCCTGCACCGGCGAGATATACATTCAGTGGTGCACAAATGGAAAAGACTGGTATTGCCTCCACAGATCTTGCCTGTTTCTTGTTGATCTCGCCCGCCCTACTGCTGCTGACAGCAAACAGCCACAGCGCCAGCAGAAAAGTCATGCTGGTGTCACCAGAGTGTTTACCGACAGGACGGAACACCTACCCTATCCCAATTCTGGCAATCCGTGTGCGTCCCGTCTGAGAGCATCAGCTGTTCAATTTGTGCGAAAAGGCCGGTGAGGACCTTTCCTGTAGTTAGCTCAATAGAGGATCTGCTGGGCGGTAAGTCCTAGAGTAAGAGTGCTTTTACTTTAATAAGACCGATGGACTGGCCAATCAGTCAAAGTTGTTTCTGTCCATGTATGGCATCATGAAGGGTGGTCAACACAAATCTCACTTCGG